GTATCTGGCTGGCTAGGGAGAAGCGAGGAACTTCATATCCAAAGGTGTTTTGGCAAATTCAGAAACTGAAAGTATTAAGGCAGTTGTACAATCCTGTGTGGCACCGTGGGTTAATGCACTGGACTGAAAAGTCGGTTTGAACCACAAGGTCAGCGGTTCAAACTCACCAGCTGTTCCTCAGAAACCCTATACAGGGTCACTATGGGTTGGAACCGACTCAAGGGCACTTAACACAACAACTACACAATCACGTAATAATAATAGTGATAGTAAACTTTATTAAACTGCAATGTGTTAGGCGCTATGCTTTTGTTGTTAATTGCTATTGAGTCAGTTTCAGCTCTTAGTGACCCTGTATAGGGCTTCCAGGGAACAACTATCTGGTAGGTTTGAACCACCAGTCTTGAAGTTAGAAGTCCAGAGCTTATCCTACAGCACCACACCTGGACACTATACAAAGTGCTTTCATTTACTCCTCATAACATTATGGGGAGGTTCTACTTTTACATATGATACATTGGGAATTGGAACTGTTAAACAGCTTTTTCAAAGTTACCCCTATTAAGCAGTGTAAGAATTCGGATCCAAAGCCCGGGTTCTTTGGTTCTATATCCAAGATTCAAAAATAGCCATGGCCCTTTACGTGCATGACTTCAAATATGAAATATATCCCAAGCATTAGTAGGAAAAAATTCAGTACAGTTCCTTGCAACTCATATGCCTTGTTTAATTTATCATGGGTTTGGTCATCAGGTATACTAAAATCAAAGAGAATAGATTTTTCTGAAATTAAGATCTCTGCTAACTTCCGTTCTGTTGATATGCTTAGATGCATTTTAAAAAGACTTCTCACTTACTTTATTGTCAAATAATTTGACAACTAGTGGGTATACATTTCATAAAATGAAATTATTGATCAATAAATTTGAGCCCTAGTGTGGTACTGCAGAATAAGCACTAGACTGCTAACCACAAGGTCAGTGGGTCAAACCCAACAGCCATCATAGGAAACCCTATACAGGGTCACTATGAGTCAGACAGAGCCAGCTCAGTGGCTCTTAACAACAAATGTTTTTATTGCTACTATGCATATTTAACCCAAAGTAATATATGATTTGTATATGATTTGATTGTGTATGTTTTACATGTCATGCTATTGTTACTCCTTTGTGACTTGCCTTTGACTTTTTTTTTTTT